TCTACGTGATTAATCACATTGGCGGTGCTGACGGCCACTTTGGAAGTTTCGCCGCCCATCTTGGGGTCTTTAGGCCATTCACTTGGTTCACTAGTTATTTTCGTCCTTCGGGATTTTGCTGGTTGACTTCCTCCAGATTGTGGTCGATCGCAGGACCGGTTATCGGGACTTCCTCCTGGGTGAATTTGATTCTAGGGAAACGTCAAGACATCCTTCTGGACACCAGCCTTCTTCCAGTCGTGGTTTGTGTTGATGGGAGTTGGACTTCTAGACCACCGTCATGGAGAGATCAGAACAATTTGTGTCCCTTCTCCATTTGGCTGGGGTCTTTTATACCGGACTAGAGCTTTCGCTAGCCCCCCATATTGGATGAATTAACTAGGTGTTCCCACCTATGGGTACTGTTTCTCCATTTCCCCTATTTTAGGAGTCAATGGCCGGCCGGTTACGAGCAGGTCGATCGTGGTCGTTGTTCTGGCCACGCGACACCCATGAGTTGTCGAATTGTTTTTGCTGTTTTGCTTTTATCAATCGCAGTGTGGTTAGTCATTACGGCCCCTACCCTCAACTAATGGCAGTTGTTTTGCCGGGGTTAATCTTGGTATGGGGGAGGGCGTACGTAACAGCTCGTTACACTTATCCATTGGATTACCTCGAGCACTTCCATTTCTTTTGCGGATTTGCCCTGTTGTGGTATTGCTTTCCTTGGTCAAGTCTCACAATACTGGATGACCCTCCACAGCTGGGATTAGGTGTTCTTTTTCTTCTGAACTGAATTCCTTCAGTAATTTTTTACGTGGTTTTTGGGATATTCCTTCTATTTTCAAATATTTGCTGCACGAACACAGCCAAAGATCAAATTTCATATTCGCGCAGCAGCTAATGGCGTCCATCGGAATTCACTCATAAAGTCTAGTTGTTTTTGTGGTATTTCCTCAGCTAATCTGAGTACTGCGATTAAAAACGGACCCGACGAAAAACGTTAGATGTCTATTTGCATCTCGCTCTCTCCTATGGCTAGCTCGGGGCTACCGTCGATGTGAGTACTAGGCTTAACACCTCTGGACTTATGTTAGACAGGTACACAACCAAAATTTACCATACCCATTATTCCATTTGTTAATAGCACATGAACAGAAAATTAAACTTTGTGAAGTTTCTACATACCATTTCTAGTTTTCCATGATAATTGGATCCCCTTAAGTAAACGTCACGTGATAGCTAATGGAAAATAAGTTTGTATGGGACTTTTACTCAGGAGCACCCAAATATCATGGAAAACTAGATATGGTATGTAGATATTTCACAAAGTTTAATTTTTTGTTCATGTGCTTTCAACAAATGGAATAATGGGTATCTGGGTATATTCAGGTTGTTGGTTGGGATTGGTGTTCAGGGTATTTGCGTAATCGTTACTTGTGAAATGTTTTTAGTGGAACGCTTGCCTCTTGCCAAGATGGAGGTTGGTAATTTCCATAAAAAATAAGCATAAGAAATACATTTTCTTCTCAAAAGATTCCGAAACGCCGTAAAAAAGATCTGAATAAAAATACACAAAGACAGCATATGAGGCCACACTTTCCGCTGTAGCATCTTTTCCCGTCTCTATCTACAATGTTCACTCCTATGGAAGGAAAATTCGGTGAAGCGGAATTTGTCGCTGAAGCAGAAACATGGTATAAGCTGCCTTTTTTTTACTATAACCTAGTACTCAGATCGGCTAAGAGGTTCACTAGTCGAAAAATCGTATTCTTTGTAGTGTGTGACCGATGTATTAGCATGGTCATACTGTCAAGCAGCTGGGTTTGTTGACAAACGTAGAACAAATCAATTGGAGCCATTTAAAAAAGAAAAGTCTGCTGGTGCACAAAAAAATTGAAATACAAATAAATGGAATGTTTAACGAATGATTTTATTTATGTACATTAGTAGTTTAAAGCTTCCTTCTCGTCCCTCGGATGGGAGTATCAACGGGCATATTGCACCTTGAGGAAGTGGGAGCCGGACTGGGAACGGCGGTTGTTCCGCTGATGCTGCAGGAAGTCGTTCAGCATCCTGACAAAGGATTAGGATTAAATTTCTTATTCTTTAGGCCACGGCTAACGGCGTTCATCGAAATTCCCTCGCTAAATCTGGTGTTTTTTCTGGTATTTCCTTAGCTCATCTGAGTACCGCGCTGAAAAAAAGAACCGACGAAAAACCGCCTATTTGCCTCTCACTCCTATGGTTAGCTCGTGGTTTTCGACGATGTCAGTACTAGGCTTATTCCTGTTAAGAAAAGCATGTACTTAGGTTTCCCAGAGCAACCCTGTGCAATTGTCTCTGACTTGGAGACAAGTACTCGGGAGCTATAATATAACGTCGATACAGAATTCGATTACAAGTTTGCATACCATGGTTTTTGATCTGACAAAAATTCTGCCAATAATTTTGTATTCCGGGGATAGGAAAGCGAATAGAGGGCAACAGCAATAATTTTATCCAATGGCATGGCTGGGCGAAACACTGTGTCATTCTAATAGGCCTGGTGTCATCCCCACCAACTGCAGAAATTAATTTCTGTCAACGCTGAATGATTCCTTGTCTCTAAAAGTTTCCATTTTGTTTGTCTCCATATATAAATGGCAATTAAATATTATTGCTATATTATTAGTATCGATTGTTTACTTTAGCGCGCATGACCACAGAACAGCTCTCCCAAAAGCGTTGTCCATTGGAAACAACACCGCGTTGCCTATCGAAAAACAACATATTCTACTTGACTGTTTTTTTAATTCATCAACAAATTCAGCTATCATTCGAGGTGGAGGCATTGAACGGTTGAACTCGCTGATTAATAAGTTCTCATATTCTTCCAGTCCTGTATTATATTTCTCATCTGCAGTGATCGGGCTCATCCTTCTTGGAGGTTTCTGATACCTGTATATGTAATTAGATTTTGGGCTTTTAGAATTGTACAGTAATGGTAGAACAACTCGACGAAGAGAGCTAAATGAAGAGGGTCTCCATTAAATAAATTTATCTGCTTTACTTGCGGAAGAATATGATTCATGGATACATCTGAGAGGGTTTTTAGCGGCTGAAGCTGCGTCCGCTGCTGATGTTGATGGCAGTTCCATATTTGGTGGTTAAGTTCGAGTTGTTTCTTTAAGCGAAATACATCATATAATCGCAATATTATGGCTAGTTAGACATTAGAATTCCTTATTCGTGATTTAACTGAAGTAGCTGGTGAATAATTTTATGAGGCTGCAAACAATTTTTAAGTTTTACGAAGTGATCGCTTAAGTACCAGCTGCGCCAATTATGTTTTTCGCTTGGAGGCATTAAAAACACGATTTTTATTTTAGTATACAACGGCGTTTTTGTATGAAACTGATTTTACAAAATTCTTATAACAAGTGGACTTTGATCAGAAGATTTTGTTGGCCAAAACTAAGGACTGATGATAGATTCCTCGAAGCTTTTATGGTGTAAGGGCGTTATGGGCGTTATGGTAAGGGCGTGTGAAATGCCTTGCTTTTACGCTTTCCATTTTCATATCGTCCCTGTCCCTGTCATCATTATTTACTTTTTCGTAGTGAAAGTGTCACTATTTACAGTCAAGAAGAATTTAGATTTGCACCGAAAACATCTCCTAGGAATCGCATATAAGTGTCAGTTATAGTTCGTCAAATTTGTATGGCGGACTAAGTGAGAAATTTTTGAAACGGTAAAACATTATGGGCCATATGTTCAACTGGTGGGATTAGAAGACGGTTCTATGTGGGAAGAGGTTATCACCAAAGCCTAGTACTCACATCGACGAAAACCGCGAGCTATCGATAGAAGTGAGCGAGAGGCAAACAGGCGGCTAACTCTTTTCGTCGGGTCTGTTTTTCAGTGCAGTACTCAGATGAGCTAAGGTCGTTTTTAAGATAAGAAAAAAACAATGCCTGTCGCACGCGAAAAAATATAAATGATTAATTTGACTACCAGCTCAACTTTCGATTTCACCGAAACGAGAATGAACATTTTGATGCAGTTAAATTTCTAGAGATTCTCAGTTACTTTTCTCAATAATGTTTTTGGTTTTGTTCAAAAACTTAAGTACTTTATTTTAATACAATTGATGACTGTTTAAGCTGTATGTCGCACGCGATAAAAATACCGAAAAACATATGAAAGTTTGCCCATATTAGTAGGTAGTGTCCTGAAAAATTATGTTCAAATTAGCTAGCTCAGTTCATCAGGAACAAATATCAGTGCAAAATCATAAAGGCATACGTTTTATTCAAGTTTTAAGGTTTTTGACTGGTTTACATTCACGGAAAATTGAGCGCTTAAAAAATCCTTATTATGAAATATTATTTTCAGTTATCCTTGCTCCAAAGGAAGGGTCTTGGAAAAAAGTTTAAGAAAGATACGTCTGAAGGTAATGGAAAAAAAGATTGTATGAGACGTTTACTCAGGGATACCCAAATATCATGGAAAACTAAAAATTGGTATGTAGAAATTTCACAAAGCTTAATTTTGTGATCATGTATTATCGACAAATGGAATAATGGGTATCTTGGTATATTGAGGTTGTTGGTTGGGCTTAGTGTCTAGGGTATTTGCGTGTACGTCACTTGTGTAATGTTTTTGGTGCAACAACTGCCTGGTCTTGCCAAGAAGATATAAAATGGAAGTTTGTCATTTTGATTAAAAAACGTAAGAAAAACATTTATTCTGGAAAAATCCCGAAAGGCCGTTAAAAAAACTGTATAAAAATAATAAAATACAACATATGAGGTACAACTTGCCGCTGAAGCGACTTTTTCTGTCTCTTTCTACCACGTGCACTCCTATGAAAGGAAAATTCGCTGAAGCGGAATTTGTCGCTGAAGCAGAAACAGGGTATAAGCTGCCAATTTTGTGCTATTCCACTGTTTCACTTGTAAAGCAATCGATGTACTTAGGTTGCCCAGAGCAACTCTGTGCAATTGTCTCTGGTGTGCTCGAACTGCACATTTCCTTCTTTTGGATTTATACCGTCTTGTAAGTAGGTTGTGCTATTTCCTGGGCTGCAAACAAAAATATATGTATTATTATATTTGAGGATTTGACTTAGTTATATGATGATTTTTTCCATGCACCACTCTGATTACTTTTGTGTTGATTATGGATATCTGACTTATTTGCGCGCACGTCTTACGTTGCTTAGTAACTTCTACATACGTACATCTACTAATTATTTACATTGTAGATCCTAAAATGTACTTTTTTGGATTGTACAGTCCAGTTGATGTTGAAGTTGATGGACCGATGATGTGACAGTTATTAAATAACAAATGAATTTGTTACTAGGTCAATCAATTTGCTGAGATGGGGGCCTACCGGTACATGCAGGAACTCTATAGGAAGAAGCAGAGTGATGTAATGCGATACTTGCTGCGTATTCGCGTTTGGCAATACCGCCAATTAACCAAACTGCATCGTTCACCCAGACCTACTCGTCCGGATAAAGCAAGGCGTTTGGGGTACCGTGCAAAGCAAGGGTTCGTGATTTATAGAATCCGTGTTCGCCGTGGTGGTCGCAAGCGTCCAGTGCCAAAAGGTTGCACTTACGGCAAGCCGAAGAGTCATGGTGTAAACCAATTAAAGCCGTATCGAGGATTACAGTCTATAGCTGAGGTAAGAAAAACTCGCATCAATATAAAGGATTTGAAGCGAGGCCTCTTCATTTCTTACAATGCTTTCTTCTAATTTTTAAAACGCCTGATGACTACACTGACCTGAAACTTAAGTTGATTACTGAACTTCCTTAGATGTCTGAAATTTTTAATTTAAAAAAAAACCCATATCAAATACTACATAATTATTAAAGATTTACAAATTTTTCTTTCTAGGAACGTGTTGGTCGTAGGCTTGGTGGCTTGAGAGTTTTGAACTCGTATTGGATTGCTCAAGATGCTTCTTACAAGTATTTTGAGGTAATCTTGATTGACACTCATCATAGTGCTATTCGTCGTGATCCTAAAATTAACTGGATCTGCAAGCATGTGCACAAGCATCGTGAGTTGCGAGGCCTTACTTCAGCCGGAAAGAGTTCCCGTGGTATTGGCAAGGGATACAGATATTCTCAGACTATTGGTGGATCTAGGCGTGCTGCTTGGAAGCGCAAGAACCGCGAGCATATGCACAGAAAACGATAATTTGTAAAGCTTATTTATTATCGGTTGAATAAAGCATTTCGTGCATTATATTCAACAATTGGCACGTTAAAATCATATGTGTGTACTTTCCTGTATGTATATAAAAGGTAATATAAATAATGACCCATTATTTCTTAAGCTGAAGTGTGTTGTGCCTTTCCGGAGGGTAATTCAATTTCAGTCTGAAATGTGCAACGCAATATGGCCCTAAGGTCAACAAATTAATGCCGAAACAAATGAGCACACTAGCGTCGAGTGCCCCGACTATCAGCTAACCAACTTCAAAATAAATAATCCTTCAAATGAAGGTGAAGAAACGTCGATGTTTACAGTTTTATTTCCTTTACATTATTACGTGTTATACATCGCTTGCATCTACTGATCAAAATTGTATACACTTGGACCTCTCTTAACACGATGGTTACGTTCCTAGAAATCCTAGTGTTAAGCAAAACATGGATTCAGTAGAAAATAAGGGGTTACGTTACGAAAAAAATTTGTTGTTCAAAGTTGGTTTATTTTTTATTAAAGTTTCATCCATTTGTTCAATATTAAACAAAAGTTATGTATGACGAGGATTCATTCTCCGACTCTTCCGCCAGACTTTCGGCGAAACGTATTTTGGCGCGTGGCATGGATATTGAATTTCACAACCAGACTGACTACAACTCATGTTGATTCCTTTTCATTTCCTTCTCACCTTCCAATACATACGCACAGTGTGGTGAGTTATGACGAACACAATCTGTCTCACTTATGCCCACGGCCAAACTACGTTGACAGAATTATGTATCTGCCTCGCACGAAAGAATGGAGAAACAGGAAATAAAACAAGTGTATACCAACGAATAATCGTTATAATTTGAATGTTTAAAATAATCTACGACATGGCTTGAATGAATGCAAAAGTCATATTTTCAAAATTTTAAGTTGGTATTAAATTAAAAAAAGTTCCTTCATATAATTAATTTACAGGTTAAACTTTAAAGAAACTTAAAAATGTTAAAAAGTAAGGAGATCATATGCTTCTATTCAAATCAAATTTGAAATGCATTTGGTGGCATTTATAGTTTAAGCCAGTTTTTTTCAACATGTTTCCTTATAAAAAAAAATATATTTATATATTGCAATCGTGTAAGAACGAGGTTCGACGAGGTCGTAGGGGGTGGGGCATTCGTATGGACAATTTTTAGCTATTTTGCCAAATAAACTCTTGAAAATCACGTTTGACCCTCCGAATCTGCACAACAAAAACAAGGAATAACGCTATAATCGAGTACCTCGACTATCAGATACCCGTTACTCAGCTAAAGGGACCAAAGGGAGATAAAAATATGCATGCAGCAAAGCGAGATTGCAATGCGCCACCTACCCGCGATCTCAATATATGGTTACATATGTGGGCGGCCGACAGATTTAAGCGGTTTGGGCGTTAGAGTGGCCGTGGAAAACTTTTTTGGGTCAATCCCTAGCATGCAAATTGTGGGCGTGGCAAACTTTTTTTTTAGGTCAATCGATAGGTATTGACGAGACTAATACGTTTCAGCTAAAATATTTTTCTAGCATGAAAAATGTGGGCGCCACAGGCTTGCGCGGTTTGTTGGCGTTAGAGTGGGCGTGGCATATTCGCGTAATAAACTTCCGGTGCGTGCAAGGCTACGGAATCTAAATCTCAAATCTTTGATAGTTTCCGAGATATCAGCGTTCATACTTACGATTTTTTTAAGTTTGTGGGCGTTAAAGTGGGCGTGGAAAACTTTTTTTTAGGTCAATCGATAGGTATTGATAAGAACAATAAATTTTTTAATTCTAGCATTAAAACTGCATTAAAACTGTAGGAGCCACAGTTTTGGGCGTGGCACCCTGCTGAAACAAGCTTCCGCTGCGCAAGAAGCTCAGGAATCTACATTCCAATTCCCGATTTTCTAGCTTTTGTAGTTTCCGAGATTTCAGCGTTCATACGGACGGACATGGCTAGATCGACTCGGCTAGTGATCCTGATCAAGAATATATATACATATGTCAGGGGCTGAGACATTTGCTGGTCTCCTTCTTGCATATTGTTGCAGATGCGCAGTGAGTCGCGGTCAACGTCTTCTCCGTTCAGATATCAAAAGCAAAGTGAAGTCGGCTTCCTTCTGCCGGCTTCTTCTGACACACGTCAAAATGACACACGTCATCTAATTGCAAATTCCTTTCTTTTCTCTCTCTTTCTCATTTGCAATTCCTTTTTGGTCCTTCTCTCTCTCAGAGTCCTTGACCTTGACCATGACCGCGCCACACTCGGCTGAGACGACACTCTCTCTCGTTCTCAGTCCACGCTCTCAGCAATTGTGCAATTAAAAGGAACCACAAATAACCTAATGACTAGTTTATTTTATTCTTTATCCTTTCTCTTTCTTAATGCTATACAGTTTCGTTTACATTTTCTTTCTTCTTATACATCTCCGACACGGCCATCCTGACTTTCACACGTCCTCGTGTGCATACTGTAACACTAGGTTGGTATCATTCTTGCTTAATTTCTCTTTTCATCTTTTACATCTCTCAACATCATTCTTAGCTTAATAATTAGTCTACACACACAACTTTATAAATTGCGTCATCAAATGTCGGTTTCGCAGGCTATCTCGCTTTCTCACATCGTACAGTGAGTCAAATCAAACTTGTCTCACCAGTCAACCGCGCCACACGCCATGACAGAACACTTCTGGTTCCACACTTGTGCCTTCGGCTTGACCTGGTTCAACTTTCTCTCAGTAGCTCGTACTCTTCTGCGCAAACCCGACCATTTGGCTATCCTTGTTATCAAACCACAGTTACAGGCTCTTGCCGCCCCAGGCGACGCTTTGCACCTTTAGTGCCACGATCTGCTCAGATCCAAACTGCATCACACAATATCATCCATACCAGGCATGACTATTGTTGATCAAATCTAGCCCCTGTGTTTGATGTCTCACGACGAGTGTCTTTTTCACCACTGTCACTTTCCTCAATAGTCTCATCAGAGATCTGCTCGTCCGGCAGCCTTCTCAAACTCTCGTGCGAATACTTGTAGGTTCGCTTGCTAGTTAACGATTTTAACAGGTATCGATCACCTTCCAACAACTCGGCAACCACAAAAGGTCCTTTGAACTTAGGATCCAATTTGGTCTGATGCCGCTCTTCACTTCTAAGCAAGACATGATCCCCAACCTTGTGTTTTACAACTTTGGCCTTATTCTTATCAACTCGATTCTTTTCATATTTCGCATTTATTTCAATATTTTCTTTGGCCTGAGCCCTCGCTTGCTTACAATCTATTTTAGTCTCTTCATTTATTGGCAATAAGCCCATTGGCCTGGCCTCTCTTCCAATCAATATTTCTAATGGGCTATACTTTGTTACCCTGTTCGTTGTGCAATTCATGGCTAACTGTACTTCACTGAGTGCATCCTGCCAGGAACGTTCACCTATCTCTACCGCTGTCAACATACTCTTCATCGTGCTCATGACTCTTTCAACCTGTCCATTGGCCCTACTTGCACCTGTTGCTATCAAATGTAACTCTATTTTATGCATTGAACAGAACTCACGAAATTTCCCACAAGAGAAACTCCTGCCTTGATCTGCTATGATACGGTTAGGTACCCCAAAAAGTGATATTGTTGATTTTACAGCCTTAATACAGTTTTCTGCATCTAAATGCAAAGTATGATATAGGTGAACAAATTTAGTAAATGCGTCTATTTGTACTATGACATATTCCTTGGTATCATTTTTACCACTCAGCTTTCCACTAATATCAATGTGCACAGTATGCCAAGGTATCTCAACTTTCGGAATTGGATGCAATTCCATTTGAATTTTCCCTGATGGAGGCTTTGCTAGTTTGCATTTGATGCAGTTTTCTACAAATTTTCGTACATACTTGGACATATGCTCGAACCAATACTGCTCATAAACCTTGTCTAACGTTTTCTGCCACCCCAAATGCATGATTGCTTCATGGACGTGATTTACTACAGACCACCTAAAGGCTCTTGGGATTACAGGTAGACAGCGTGTTTTTCCATTTCTCTGAATTTTCCGATACAGAATTCCTGCTCTTAGCTCATACGTCTTTGCTAAACTCTCCAACAACTCTCCATCATTCAAATGGACTATAATTTCCCTTACACACGAATCACGCTGCTGCTCAGCTACAAGCCAGTTGTCTGTCACCTCTGTCAGGTCGATGCGGACTTCGGGTACTCTATTGGTTGTCTCACATTCAATGACAATCGGATTTCTGGATAAAAGTCCACGTGCGCCATGCGATTTCCCTTGCGGTACTCTATAGTGAAATCAAATGATTGCAAATATGCCCACCAACGGTGAACTCTCGGCGTTAGTTCTATTTTAGCACGACTTGCTTTCAATGAATTACAATCTGTGAATATTACAAACTTTCGACCGTGAAGGTAATGTCGGAAACTTTTTACAGCGTTGTATACTGCCAGAGTTTCTAATTCGTATGAATGATACCTCGATTCTGGGGGCGATGTACACTTGCTAAAGTATTCGACCACTCTAGGCTTACCGTCTATTTTGTGCATGAGAATGGCACCATAGCCACTTGCACTTGCATCTGTATGCAGCTCTATGGGATATTGTGGATCAAAAATAATTAAAACCGGATCATGTGTTAGTACTGAGATGATCTTCTGCCGTATTTCTTCATGCTCAGCTTTCCAAACGAAACTACTAATTTTGGAAGTCAACTGATATAACGGTTTCATCTGTTCAGAGAACTGTGGGACAAATTTACGGAAGTACGACGCTAATCCTATAAATTGTCGTAATTGTGAAACATTCTTTGGTTGAGATAGTCCAGCCAGAGCTTGTATTTTTCGCGGATTTGGTTCAATACTACCATCCTTGACCAAGTAGCCAAGATATTCTATTTCAGTTTTCAGAAAAGAGCATTTTTTTATATTAAATGAAAATCCTGCTTCCGATAGAGCCTTTAGCACAACTGTCAATCTTTCAAATGCTTCCTCTTTTGACCTTGCTACTATCACTACATCATCAATGTAAACAATTGCATAGGAGTA